GAACTGGAGTGACAGGCATAAGTCTCAATCACTGAGGTTTATTAAGCCACTTTAGAGTGCTTATGGGAAAAACACGAGCCACAGACACATTTGCCGCTGTTTTTCTGAAGTTTTCAGATTTAGGGAGGACAGGAGCAGATAGACAGTTAGGTAAATACTGTGTTTTATATAAGATAAAGTGACTGTCTGAAAAGAGAAAGGGAGTAAAGGAAGAGTCAATTACACAGACATCTCTGGGTAGGCGGAGGAATGAGCCTTGTCTTTGTTCTGCACCTGGGAAGATAAACTTGTGATGACATTATCAGTGCAGAATGGAACAGACTAGTTTTATGAGCTAGACCTAAAGCTACCATTGGCATGTCCTTGTTTCTGGGAAGTCAGCAAAGAATTTACTTATGAATAATCTGTGGAAGCCGTCCTTCCCAGATACTCGAGGCCTTTTACCTCTCCATGGGGATCTGACTGCTTCCTTACTGTTAGTAACAGGTATTCATTTTGAAGAGGGTGTTGCAATGATCTTTCCTTTTGCATAAGAAGGCTGGAGGATCCTGAGATTTTTTAAATTTTCCTTTCCACTTTCCATCTATTTTCTTTTTCTGAGTCATTTGAAAATAAGTTGCAGACATAATAACCTTCTACCCCTGAGAACTTCAGTGTACATTTCTTAAACACAAGGATATTCCCTTGTATAACCACAATATGATTATCAAAATCAAAAAAGTCACTATCATCTAACATACAAATTTTATTAAATTTGTACCAATTGTCCCACTAATGTACTTTCAAGTAAAAGGGGGGAAGAAGAAAACCTATTTTTTTTCCCTCGATCAGGATCCAGTCCAGGATACATAGCACTTAATGGTCATGCCTCCTCTAATCTGAAGCGGTTCCTGAGTCTTTCTTTGTCTTTCATGACCTTGACATTCTTGATGTCTATAAGTCATTTATTATGTAGCGTTTATCACAGTTTGGGAGCAGATGGTATTCAATTTGCTTAGAAACCTTATTATCATTTCTCTGTAAGCTTCGTAAATCTTCCTGAGACACACATAAAAATAAGCAGTCCTAAATATATATATTTTTTGAGACAGAGTCTCGCTCTGTCTCCAGGACCAAGTGCAGTGGTGTGATCTCAGCTCATTGCAACCTCCACCTTGCGGGTTCAAGCGATTCTCCAAGCAGTCCTAAATATTTTTAAAGAATTTTTTTTAAGACAGGGCCTCACTGTATCCCCCAAGCTGGAGTGCAGTGGCACGATCTTAGTTCCCGGGCTCAGGTGATCCTCCCACCTCAGCCTCCCTAGTAGCTACAACTACAGGCATGTGCCACCACACTTGGCTAATTTTTTAAATTTTTAGTAGAGCCTGTTGCCCAGGCTCCTGAGCTCAAGCGACTTCCCACCTCAGCCTCCCAAAGTCCTAGAATTACAGGGATGAGCCACTTAGCCCAGCCTAAACATTTTTAGTCCATTAATGGCTTGTGAGCTGATAATTTTTAGAATTGGTAAATAAAGGGAAAAATTAAACACTGACCTTGCCTTCCATATCAATCTTTACCACTGGGGAACCAAATATAGATGAAATAGATGAGAGAGGGTTCTCTTTTTTTATTTTTTTTTT